GACCTATCCACATCATCATTTACCCAGAATGCTTTGTGTGTAAATAAAATGGCCCCATCCGTGTCATATATTTTTAAACTTTTATTTTAAAAATTATAAAAACTAAACAGCTACATATTTTTACAGTCTTTGTTTTACAGTTAAAATATATGGTTATCAAATAAAGTCTAATGTTACAACTAATCATGGGTCCCTTTAAGAAATTCATATCTCCTATTGTCTACTAGCTCAACTGCTTAAGCTAAGCTTATTTTATGTTGACAAACAATGTTTTTAATTGTAAGATAACATTATGGGGGACCTCAAATTATACAATATATTTGCATATGACTCTCAGCCACTATTACACCAAATTTCAGCTCAGTATCTAGTTTTGTAAAAAAAGAAAACAAGAAAGTAAATGAAGTTATTTTACAGTGTTTATCAAACAAATGTTCTCAGCTAATAAAACAATCTATTGATTAAAGTTCTTAGAATTTTCTCTTGTGGTCAAGTGGAGAATTCCGGGTCAATACTGTAAAAATACAATTGTCCTTCGTTGACCTTAAAATGAGTCATTGACATTGTGTCAACACAGGTGAAGCAGATCTATATGTGTCAACAYGCTGCACTTCGTTCAGTCACTGTGTATAAGGCATGATGGCTGCAGCTGCCTTATAAATACCACACAAGGGTCAACCAGCGTTTTATCCCCTTAAATACTACACACAGTATCCAGGTGGTTACATGTCTCTATTGACAAATTACCAGTGTTGCTGTTTATCGTTCAGCAAAAGTCACCACAGCAAGCCAATTCACATGAAAGATTTTGCAATTCTTTTACTCAACCTGGGTTGATCATCAGGAATATAATATATTCCTGATGATCAGGAAAACTACATGGACTGTTTTTTTAAAAGTAAAAACATGTTGCTAACATGTTTTCATCATTTAGCTCACTTGTAAAATCTTAGTTAAAAAATCCACTGACATTTTTTATTAGCTCACTGTTCTTAAGTGATGCTAATTGTTTTTACTAAGTATTTAATTTAAATGTTAAATGTTATGTCTAAAATGGTAAATCCTAAGTGTAAATCTAAATGTAAAYGTTAAATTTTAAATGTTTTGGTGTAATGTTAAAGACCACATTTAGGAATTTTGGAATGAAACACAACTGTTGCTGTTGGTGTGCCGCTTCCGTTGTGACATCATCATCCTGTGACATCGCTGCTGACGCTGCTAAAGATGACACTTAAAATTTAAATTCAAAATGTGTTAATTGAAAACAGTATGGATAATACATGTGGTCCGACAGTTTGAAGTGCGACTCAGACACGGCCACAACTACAACTTTGTTGACATGTAGGTGAGACAATAGCAGAGTTAGCAGAGTTAGCAGTTGCTATTGTCTAAGGATGATAGCACCAACAATGAAGGCTGTTTTCCATTTCCATCCATCCATCCATCCATCCATCCATCCATCCATCCATTTTCTTCTGCCTATCCGGGGTCGGGTCGCGGGGGCAGCAGCTTCAGAAGGGAGGCCCAGACCTCCCTCTCCCCAGCCACTTCTTCCAGCTCCTCCGGGGGAACTCCAAGGCGTTCCCAGGCCAGCCGAGAGACATAGTCCCTCCAGCGTGTCCTGGGTCTTCCTCGGGGCCTCCTCCCGGTGGGACGTGCCCGGAACACCTCACCAGGGAGGCGTCCAGGAGGCATCCTTACCTGATGCCCGAGCCACCTCAACTGGCTCCTCTCGACGTGGAGGAGCAGCGGCTCTACTCTGAGTCCCTCCCGGATGACCGAGCTTCTCACCCTATCTCTAAGGGAGATAGGGTGTAAAATCCTATCCTAGGTGTTTTTCCATTTCAAAACACCTAAATGGAAGCTATAATATTTAGTCACATCATGTACATTTTACACATTATTTAGGATTTAACATTTAGATATAACATTTAACAGTTAAATTTAACATTTAATAAAACATAGCAAAATGTAAAAATAACTAGCTAAATAAAAAAATGCAAGATGAATTTTTAAACAAAAAGTGAGTTAAATGATTAAACAATGTGTTAGTGACATTCGTTAACATTTTGTTTTACACTTAGCACCCCATAAGACCATGCCACTGACCACCGAGCTGCTGCAGCACCAAGACACCAGCCAATAATGACCACATGAGTGGGTCCTTTCAGTTCCARAACAGGTAGAACTTGGACAGCATGTGGAAATATGATTTGTTTGCTCAGAGAAATGAACTGAGTTGGAAAACCAAAAATAGCCTGGACAAATCAAAGCAACAGAATACTGTGGAGAGATGCCCATATGGCTGAAAAGATAACAGATTTTGGACTTATGCAGCTTTTATGGTGGATTTATTGAAAAAAAAGCCATTGTCTTTGAGATTTACGGGGATTTTGTCTTTAAAAAGAACTGGCCTATTTTTTAAAACTACGACTCTGCACATTATTGATCCATTCAAAACAGACTACTTATCTCTAGGCAATGAGACACATTTAGCTCGTTCTTTTTGCTCAGACATGCTGTCCATCCTGTCCATGTGAGCAAAAGTCAAAAGAAGCATGTCTTCTTGGAAGATCCATCATTTAGTGATAAAGAAAACTGAACTGGTTTCCATTGAAGGACTGTTAAGGATGTTCCCTGGTGGATGTCCAGGCCTGCTATTGGCCCCATGGTGGGTCACACTGCAGCGTAATGTCTTTAAGTGCTGACGTGCAAACAAGTTCATGATAACAACATAGATATCCAACTCTTTCAAATGGGAACTTCCAAACTTATGTTGCGCAAGAAGCACAAAAATTGGAGTGCAGTTGTGTGGTGCAAAGACTGAGGAATAACATGAAAGCATGATTAGGTGAAATAAAACAGAGCAACTAGAAACCACCAGAACCTCCTTTATTCCAATTACCTCACAGCAGAGAAAATAACAGGCAGAAAACAACTACCATTAAAAAGGTATTTGCATCTCAAACTAAGCCTCTAAAAGAGGCTACTTTCATTTTCAGACAGAGGAGATAAGGTTTCTGCAAAAAGCTCATTATAAAACGCAACCTTAATGAAGAATAAAAATGAGTGGTACTCATTGGTTCTATTCTGCAGAGGAAAAAAAAAGAAAAGAAAGAACGATCAGCATCTGCTGCCAAACAAGCTGTCATGTGGTTGCAATTATGAAAGATTTCATGAAATTAGTGCCAAAAGAAACAGGAATGTAAATGTGTGAAGCTTGTTAATAAATGCGTTCTGCTATATGGTATCACAGGTGGGTTCTTTCTCAAGAATAGTTTCATCTGAAATTCTTGCAAGAACACAATTATTTGCTTGTCTTGTACATTGTTTATTATTAAAGTGGGCTCTACAAATAATGAAAAAAGTCTGATTTTTACTTTACGTAACTCTGACTGCTTTGGATTGTTTTCACAGCAAGTCTGAACAGGAAATTCATGTAGAAAACACAGTTACTGCTGATGAAGCATGCTGAAAGATTGTGCCTTTCCCTCAGGAACCAGCAGAAAGTGATGTAAGACATGTAAAAATCAAAGGAAATTCTGCTCTGAGTTGAAGAATATACAACTGGGTTTGAATTTAACAGCTTTACTTTATTTTAAAAGATCCTATTAAGAAAACCTAAATACAAAATAAGAAACAGGTGCAGGGCATGTTAATCATACTGGTTGTACAGAAATAACTGGAAATATGTATTAGACAAAATTCCTCACAATGCTAATTATTGATTATTTCCATGGATAGCATTAAAAAGGGCTGATAGAGTTTATCATGGTTTGAAAAGTATTATTGACAGCATGTTTGCTGAAACACACCATGAGCCACAAAGTTCAAATTTGGTAGTTGTACAAAAAACATTTAGTTATTGACATTTTTATGGCTTCAAGAAATAAAAGTAGTGACAGAAAATGGATAACAAAATGCAGGTGGCTGTAATGCTGGTTGACGTCACTCTGAGAAAAGCGATTGGCACTTATCATAAAAGGGCTGGAAAAAAAGAAACATATGTATGAATAGCTGAAACTATTTAAATACTCAAAGATCTGTAATTTTAGTTATCCCAAGAGCTCTTGAACTTCCAGTGTTTATTTGGTGTATGTAGATGCAATTATACTAACTTTATTAAAGTTCAGAGTGAAGAAGGAAGATCTGAGAATTTCYTTCCCTTGTTTTTATTAAACAAAAGTTTTTTATATGAAAGAAATTAAAGGATATGATATTAACAGGGATAATGATGACATATTACTGAGTTCAAATAATGCTCTTAAGACAATTATTTGTTTATCTTGTATAGTTAAATTAAAGCCTAATGTAATATATGTGATTGTCACTGAACTAAGAAACTAATATTCAGTTCTGATTTCTACTGAAG